TATATATATTGTATATATATTTTAGGTATATGAATTCATCATACTAAAGAAAATCAAAATCTATGATGAGTTCATCGTGATCCTTTTCTTGTCAATTAGAGAAAATTAACTTGTTCAATCCTGGAATCATAAAATCGTATAGAGATAAATGTCTTTTGATATCATCACCGACGAGATACTATTAAAGATCGACATCTTTACGGGAGTTCGCGTCCTTGTGAATATTGAAAACTATAATATTGTACTAATTTTGTGATTTATTAGTTTAGTAGACGTATTTAGAACTCAATAATACTCGATTTTTCTTTAAAATTGTGATTTCAGTGTTATTGTCAAAGTTTAATTATCAACAGAGATGATAACTGCAGAGAAAAAATTGTAATTTTTCTGAAATATATAGGATATTATAAGTATGCATATTTATTTATGAAACATTTATGTAATACAAAAATCATGTTTTTAATAATATATAAGCCAAATATTTATATTAATAATAGCAAATTTATATCAATTGTCGATAATGTCAGCGTTCTTCAATTATCTCCGGGCCCTTGGAGCCCTTTTTATACCGCCGAAAATTTGCCCAGGGTTTACGGTTTTTAATAGTATCTCGGTGATATATATATATATCATTAATTTTGATGTTTTTTTCCCGCAATTCTATGAATTTTAAAGACCGCACGTACTGAATTTGTTTCTTATGGTACTGAAATTGTGTTGTAATATAAATGAACATGAACATCTAGGATGACTGAGAACCGGTTCTCGCTACTGAACTATATGTATATATAATTCAGTGGTTCTCGCCTTCTCGGTCGGTCTGTCGCGATTGTGCGCAGCAGCATGTGTCGTATAGCTCTGTGGACTGTACCCTGCAGCGCGACAGTATCGATACAACCAATTGTGGCAGTAGGTCGACGTCGGGCGATCCAACGTGATGTGAAAGATTAAAATTGGAGTCCTGCTGGCTAGGCCCGTAGGTAATTACAGGCGACGCAAATCATGGAAGAGGTCTTTCAAAACGGCAATTATCAGAGGGAGGCTAACGCCAATATGACCGCCATGGAGACACGGAAAGAGGTAAAGAGCTAGCTTATTTTTCACACGCATTCGTCTGTGGCAAATCGATAAGTCGTTCTCTCATCGCGGTACGCCTTTTCGGAGTCCCAATGCTTCGGCTCGTCGCCGCATAGTTACGCGACTACGAAATTCCGAAAAAACCTTCCGAACGAGCACTCACTGTATTAGACAGATTTAAAGACGCTTAAATTAAATTATCTAATTTTAATGAAATCGCGAACAGGCAAATGTATGTCGCGCAGATCATCAGAACACTGCGTAGCGTCTCTCGATTGATGTCAGTGACTCGTGTTCAACTCTTCCCTCGATCCTCAATACCTCTATACGTTGGGGATACTTTCGTACATTGTATAAGTTTGTGAGTATACAGCTGTTGCATACTAATGTTTATTTCATTAAAACCGTGACAGTCTTACATAGCTGATAAGCAAATAGATGGATGATGGAAACAGCTGTATCTCTCTCAAAACTTGCGCGAATGTTAAAAGAAAACTGTTGAATGCCTACGAATATTTCAGGACTGCCTGCTCGATCACATGGAGATCTCAATAGTGGAAGCTGAGAAGAGAGCAAATAGAGCACTTAATTTAAGAGAATTCTACACAGTATACCTCATTGAAACTAAGTGAGTAAGGAAGTAAAAATACGAATTATGTAACATAATTGTATGTAACAAAATTAATTAATTTATTTTAAAGTAATACAAGTTTTTGTTTTCAAAGTATATATATATGAATATTTATTTCAAACTATACGATCTTATTTAGGAAATATTGTTGTCTAAAAGATTTTTGTTATTCATATAATTCTATTCTTTTTTTTTTTTACAGAGTCACTGATCCCGATTTCAAAAATGCGCTGACTAGAATAAGTTCATTATGGCGGCGATACACTGAGTTTGAATTGCTCCGTGCTTATCTGGAGATTT